AAGATCCACATCTTTAATTTTTCCAACCTAAACTGCTTGGAGGCAGGGAGGATGCCTTCAGCTTCTGGGAGATGGTGGAGTGGGGATTAACATTATAGGGTCTGGCACATAGAAAACTGGGATACAAACTGTGCTGTGTGACCTTGCGCAAGTTGCTTGGGCTCTCTGAGCCTCCAGTTTTTCAACTACAAAGATCATGCCCTCACCCATTTCCCAGGGTTCTTGTGAGGACTCAGTAAGATGACTCATGTCCCACATTCAACCCTGTGCCAGGCGCGAGGTATGCACTCTGTCAGTGGGAGCAGGGAACTGAGTCTGTGCACAGTACGACAAACCCTAGGCACCCTTTCCCAAACTTAATTCTGACAGAGGGCTAGGGATCTTGGGAACCTAATTAAAGGCACATTGACATAGTAGGCCACCCCAATCCAAACACTTGAGCAAATCATTCTTCCTGGGCTGGGATCCACCCTTTCCCAAACCAGCCTTCCAAAGGTCTGGCTCATCCCCATCTGCTTTTCAGGAGAGGCCTGGCCTTTCTGGATAGTCAGTCATTTTGAGACCAACAGAAGGGCCAACGGGCAAGGGCTCCTCTGGGCCTCTTTTGTCTGTAGCCTTGAGTACGAGCGGATACACAGGAAGATGATACACACATACGGCTTTTCTCAGGGCTGACAGTAATGACTCACTGGAGGGTCACCAATGCCCTTGAGCTGCCTGGGGCAAAGTGACTCATTGGATCTGCCTCTGGGCCTTGCTCCACAGCTGCCTGGCCTCTGCCTCTCGCAGGGGAACGTCCTCAACCCCTGAGACTCTCAGACACGGGCTTCCCCACTCCTACCTCACTCTGTGTTCAGAGGGACCCTCCACATCTCACAGATGAGAAAAGCAGCCCCGTGGTGGCGATCAGCTTGCTCATACCACCAGCTTGTAGCAGACCCAGGATTTGAACCCAGGGCCCGGGTGCCCTCTGTGATACCCCCCTGGCTGCCACAAGGCCCTGCCTCCCAGCCTGCTCCTTCTCCGCAGGGCACTCGCTGCCGGCCTCAGGCTCCAGGTCCTGAACACGCCATGGCTTTGGGGTGGGACCGTTACTTACCCCTTTGAAATCTTGTTTCTATGAAAGGACAGAATGATCTCTTGGAGCCTGTGGTTCCCACTGACCATGATGTCAGTTAACAATGTAAAAATGTGTTTACTTTTCTGTTAAAAGAGGCATTCCTTTCCTATCCGACTCCAGTTTTGAAAAGCAACAGAAGAGCTTTGCGCAGTGGCAGTATCGGAGCCAATGAGGTTTATCCGAGGCACGATTATCGCTAATTGAAAAGCAACAGAAGTGTAGGTCAACAAGGATGAAGGCACACATAATTGTCTGGCCGAACAATGGAGCAATCGGTGACTTCCAGGGATGGAATCCACACCAGCCTAGGGAGCTGGGACCTGGCAAGACAAGCAGGGTGACAGGGAAGTCTGAGGGGAAACAAGAGGGAAGGACAAGGAAGCGAGAAGAAATGATCGAGCTGCGGCAGGCCCAGGAGGCAGGCAAACCGGGAAACCTACGGAGTGGATCTGGGCTGTCCCCTAAGCCCCGGCTCCATCCCTCCTCAGCAAAACCATGCCCTCTTGGTGTCCAGAACCACGCAGTGCTCCAGCATGGGACTCTGGATCCACCCCCACCTGCCCCCACACCCACCCCTGCTCCAGCTTCCTACCAACCCCAACTCTCCTGGTGTTCAGGTGTCATTGACTGGCCGGGTTTTGATGTGTCGCCTTTCCCACAGGTATCCGCATTTTAAACAGGGACTCTGGAATCTCTGGTCCCGCCTGTCCTCAGGTAGAGGAGGAGGGGTTGAGTGGGGTGGGATGGAATAAGACAGAAGATTCTGAGAGGGTCATGGAAAGACAGATCCCAGCCTGAAGGAAAACATAAGAGCTTGGAGTTCTCTTTCCTTTGGGGAGAAACAAAGACGGAATGAGTTCCGTCTCCCCATAGCCTCCCCGGCTCCAGAGATGGGATTTTCCTCTTCTGCCGTAGATGTGGAAACTGAGGCCCAAAGCGCCAAGCGCCGAGGCAGAACGGGGCTCAAAGGCTGAGAGTGCTAACCCCCAGGCCCTGCTCTGAGGAGCCAGGTGAGAGGGGCCAGGAGCTGGGGCGAGGGCATGTGGGTTGGAGGGAGGGGAGGCTCGGGCAGACAGGCCTTGCGGGCTGCAGCAAGGGGCCAGGGGCCGCCCCTGGCCAAGGCCAGAGGAGGGAACAGGCAAGAGCCAGGGATTCCCAAGTCCCGAGAAATATAAATGACTCACGCTGGGTGGCTCTGCAGGCCGGCCCAGCCCAGCCCACATTCCCGGGCCTTTGTTCCCAGCCAGCCTGGGCCCGGCCTTAAAGGGACAGCTCCTAGGGCACCAGCCAGGCCACCCGGCGCCACCCCCACCCTCCTCTTTAATCCTGACCCTTCGCGGCCTTGCTCCTGGACTCCGGGGTGTGGGTAAAAAGGGTGCCATCCCGCAGGATTTAGGGGTTCATCCAGTTGAATCCTCAAGCTGTAAGGAAGGGCCGTCAGGTCATTTCATCCATTCCTCTGCCTCTGCCCCTAAACTGGCCAAGAAGGATTAAGAAAATCCTTGTCCCGCTTTGAAAAGATGTTACCACGAGGGGACCCTTTTCAAAGCAACTTCTTCCTGAGTCTCAAAGCATCTCCCCTCTAACACCATCCCCCAGGCTGCGGCGTGGGCTAGAGGCCCCTCTCCCGGGAGGAAGGAGGGGAGGGGGAGTGGGCAGCGGGTGTCTCTGTGATCGCCCCACCCCACCCCGGGCCCTGTCAGTACTGGTTTTTCCTTGAGCTCTCATTTGACGCACGTGTTTGCTGGGTTTGGGGTTGGCCCAGCCAGACTTGCGAACCCGGCTCCCCGTGCTGGGCCTCCGAGGGCTCCGGTTCCGGGCCAGTCCGGTCCTGCCCGCGGATTCCTCAGGGGGGAAACACCGTCCCGGCGCCAGCACCCCCGGGGTGCCCCCAGGAACTTCTTTGGACCTCGTACGCCACCATGTGGACACTCTGGGGATCGGGAGCCCTCTGCGGCTTCGAGGGGGCACCCTGCGGCCGTGCCCACCGCCACCCAACCAGACACTGAAAAAGCATCCTTAGCTAGAAAATAGCCCCGAATTAGCACAAGTCAAAATAAGAGCAGGCCCTAGGTTAGAGAGGAAAAGATAGGCCTGTACCCTCTTCTGCTCACTTTGATTCATACATCCTCTCTGAAACAAGGGCTTTCTTAGAGCCGTTTAACAACAGAAGCCTAGCAGCTCTGTTAAAACTTAGAGCAGAATTTTTTGTTAAAGCTTGGGAAGATCTTTGTGTCCCCAAGTAAACCACCCCCTCTATCCCCCAGCCCCTCACACACTTTTTGGGCAATGCTCAGAACACAACACTAGAGCTTTGGGTTTCAGGTTTGGTCCACTGTTCATAGGCAGATTTTAAAAGAAGGGGTCTCCTTTGATGCTTACGCAGTAATTTCAAAGTTTCTCAGATCTTGAACTGAGAGCCGGCTTTGGAGGGAGCAGAACGTGCAAAGCCTCTAGCTACCAGGCATAGTGGGGGGTGGGATAAGGAGAGGAGGAGTGGGTGTGGCCTATGGGAAAATCCATGGGCTGGGAAGCCTGCTCACAGTTGTTCCCCACTCAGAAGCACTTTGAACTGTGATGAGGCCTGGGGGCTGCTCCACAGACTCTGTCACTTAATAAGTGTCCTTTGTACCCAGGACAAACCTGTACCAAATGGGCTAGAACCACAGGCTGTAGCTTTGAGGTCTTTGTGGGGTACTGGCCTTCGCATCCCTGGCCCTAACCAACCAGGCCAGCGGGCTCCAGATAAACCCAGCATCCAGAAGGAGCTTCCAGAACCCTCTGGGACCTGCCCCATCCACCCAACCATCCATCCACCCCCCCACACTCAATAGATAACTTCTGTGGTCATCTGTGGGGTCAGTTTCCCTACCTCCAGGCTGTGACATCTTTCAAAACTCCCCCTTCTTCTCCTTTCTCACTTGTCCCTTGTCATCCCAACCCCAAATCAGATCATAATCTTTCAATGGGTCTCTCTGCTTCTGGGCCCTCCTGGGCCAATCCATCCTGAGTACCACTCCTAAATTAATCTCCCTACAACATACCCAAGTTCTCTTGAGTGACTGCAGATTGCCTGCAGCATCTGGTCTGAATTTCTGCGCCCAACCCAGAGGCCCACTCCTTATGTTCTGTATCGTCACTCCGTCTTTCAGAGTTGGTGACTTCTTGAGAATACAAGCTATGTTTTATTTTTCAAAATCAAATCAAATGTAAATTACATGTCAATAAATCCTAGCCAAATAATAATTAAAAAAAAAAAACAAATTAAATGAGGTGCTTTTCACTAGTACGCATTGCCGTATGCATCCATACACGCATCCAGACATGCATTGTGATGAGCACGGCTGTGGTCTCGGTGCCCTTGGCCACAGGGCTGAGTGGGATCCAAACACAGCTCCTGACCCATTTGCTAAGCTGTGCACCCCGCCTTGGGGCCACATCATTTTGGGAGAAGAGATGCCTTTCCCATTCCACCCAAGCCTAGAAGCTCCTCCTATTGTCTTTGAGATACCTTCCTCACAGAGGAAAATCGACAGGCCTGAGGCCAGGCCTGTCTCAGGCAAAATAGAGAATGAAATGAGGGTGGTACCTCTTACAAGCAGCTGAGAACTCCTCCCCACCGCCCCCTCCCCTTCTTCAGATAGATGTGGGAGACCCTAGGGAAACAAAAGACAACATACCATCATTTCAAAGTTCAAAGGTACGTAAGGGCTTTCTAGTCCAACTCTTTATTCTTTCAGGCCATAAAACTGAGCAGGTGTTACTTGTCCTCAGCTCCCCACCCGGCTAAGGGAAAGCTCGAAAAGCTCTCTCCTCTTTCTAGTCTCGACTACTTCCCTTCGGGAGCCTCCTAGGTCAGCCTGCGCTTTCTCTATTACAGCCTGGGAACCCCAACCCCGGGAGGAGCCAGCCCATCAACCTGAACCACTATGCCACTAAGAAGAGCGTGGCAGAGAGCATGCTGGACGTGGCCCTCTTCATGTCCAATGCCACGCGGCTGAAAGCAGTGCTGGAGCAGGGACCATCCTCCCATTACTACACCACCCTCGTCACCCTCATCAGCATCTCTCTGCTCCTGCAGGTGGTCATCGGAATCCTCCTCGTGGTCATCGGTGAGGACCCTAGGCCTGGAGTGGGCCTCAGTGGCCCCTGGTGGGAAGAAAAGCCCCGACTGCTTCTCTGTGCTCCCTCTGCTTTTGCCCACGCCAACGTCTCAACCGTCTGCTAACCTAGTGGTAGCCCTCTGCACCTACAAATGCCCAGCTAACAACAACTACACAGTGAGAGCAGGCTCCCTATCCTACCTCCTGGTCTCCCACATAGTGGTCCCTCCACGATACCTGCTGAATGACTCTCTTCACTTACTTGTAGCAGAGGTCCTTATGGCCTTTTGTGTGAGCATGTATCCCCACTCTTAAGACCCAGTATAAGTGCCCAAATCCCGATTTCTTGAGGTACAGTGTGGTGCTGGCGCACTGGTCAGTGAGGGAGAATATCCCTCAGCCCAATGCCTACCACCTCGCTTGCCTTCTGCCACACGGGTCGGGTCTCCGAGGTGCACGAGGGAGGTTTTGGGCTGTGGCCTCACGCTGAGCCTTTGCCCCCTACCCCCCATTGGTCCACAGCACGGCTGAACCTCAATGAGGTGGGCAAGCAGTGGCAGCTGAACCAGCTCAACAATGCTGCCACCACCCTGGTCTTCATCACGGTCGTCATCAACGTCTTCATTACGGCCTTCGGGGCACACAAGACGGGCTTCCTGGCTGCCAGGACCTCAAAGAATCCTCTCTGAACACAGCCTGGGCCCCAGGTGAGGGAGGAGGGGAGGGCCCTGGGGCCAAGGGCTCCAAGTGACCCTTCTCCCAACTCTGGGGATTTGGGGTAAGAGCAAGATCTTTGCAAGTAACAGGTGTTACTGGCACTCTGAGGCAAGGAGGGGGTCTGAGAGAAGAGCTTGGATCCGGGCCCGGAAAGGCCCCTCCTGCTGCTAACGGGGGACTTTTCCTCAGCAGTCAGGCTGGGGTTCTTTAGCCTGGGATGGGTGGGAGGCAGTGTGGTTAGTGCTTGGCTCTGCTCCTCTGGCAAGAGGAAAGATGCAGTCTGGGATGTCTCCCTGGCACTGCCCAGCAGCCCTTGCTACTCGAACTGCGGTCCGTGGACCAGCAGCAACACCAGCTGGAACGTTGCAGGCAACGTGGCATCTCCAGCCCCACTTCAGATCTCCTGAATGGGCACCTGCATTTGAAAAAGGTTGCTAGGGGAATTGTGTGCACAGTGAAGTCTGAGGACCGCTGGTCTGGCCTGCCCACCTCACCATCTCTTCTCTGCTTCCTCTACAGGTCGCAGGTCTGGAACAGCTTCCGCCTCTTTCCTCCCCGCTCTGCTAGGCTGATGGGCACTTTCCACAGCCCCTGGGAGAGCTCCGAGAAGGGCAATGGAGATGCCCTTGCTCCCTACCCAGAGCATCTGAATGAAGACGTGCTATTTTACTGGTCTAAGTGAATCCCATCTTGGTCTGAGTCCTGAGCTCAGACTGGGGTACTGCCGACCTTGCTTTCTGGTAGCATCTCCCGCACCTAAGGCATGTCTACCTAAGGCCAAGCCTGCCCGGCTTGAGGACTTCTTAGTCCACCTCATTCCTTCCCTCTGACCTATCCATTCCCTCGGCTCCAGTCCTCAGTTTTCCCTTTTTGTAAAATGGAATGATCTCTATCTATAAAGTTTTCTGCAAATCCACTATGAGTCAATGTTTATGCATCCGGGCTGCACTCTGGATGCCCTCTCCAGCTGTGTTCTGGAAAGGGCTTGACTCCCTCTTCTCTAGATCCTGCTCTGAGTCAACTTTCCTGGCTCCATATGCCTTGAGCTAGTTACCATCTGCTACATAAATGGCAGATTAGTCAATTCTGGATTGATCCATGTATATGCACAATCCTTTTTGAGAACCTGTCATAAACCTATCCTAGCTTTCAAATTAGCACCTTCCCTTGGCGTGTGCTTAAGGCATACAAACTCATTTGATCTTTGCCTTGGCCAAATAGAATGCGCAAGATAAATCTGTACCTGTAAAGCATCAACCGGGCATCCCTAGCTCAAACAGAAATGATTTTTAGATTGTCTGCTACTTTACCACTGCTCCCCAAACCATCCTAGCCGTGTCTAGCTTTCTTCCCCCAGGGCTTCCATCAACCCTTCTCTACTGGAACCACCAATCTGCACTAACCTGCTGAGCAGAAAATGCCCAGTCTACTCTCAGACGGTGAACTCCTCAGGCAGCTCCCTACAGGGCAGGCACCAAACGAATGGTAAATGGTGGAGGGTGGTGCGGGAGGGTCCTTGGCACATCCATCAGAGGCCTGACAACTGAGGGACAGAGATGCGAACCCTAGGCCCTCAGCCCACCCCTCTCCCATCTTTATGGGAGATGAGGAAAACACATGAGCCACTTTGTTTTCTAAGAAGATGCTGTATTTAATGATTTCCCTCCCCCGCCCCCCAACACATTTCCCTACAGAGTAGGGGCCGTACCAGGGCCTCCCCCTTTAAGGCAGATGGTGTGGAGGTAACAAACGAAGGAAAGGCACTGGCCAGGGTCAGAGGGGACCTTGAGCAGGGCAGGGTAGGCTGGGCTGGCTCCTGTCATTAAGAGGATAGAGGCGGCAGAGCTGTTTGGGTTGGCTCAGGCCTACCAGTGCCACGGCCAAGGGGGACAGTGGCCCCAGAAAGAAAGCCGGCACCCTAGCCAGCCAACTGTAGCTCTCACCTATTCCCTACAGCTCTTTCCCAAAGGTGGTAGGCCTGAGCAAGGGCTGCAGGAAAAGTCAGGGCCCAAGGGGCAGGTATGGAATCCAGAAGCCACAGCCCATTAACTGGAAAGTCTCTGTCCTTCCTGATTTCTTAGAGGGGGGCAAGGATTCTCCAGGAGGTTCTCAATGGGCTCCATTCTCCTAAATGCCAAGTGTGTGCTCTTGGTGAATGCAGGGCCTACTGGGTAGATGTTGGAGCTCCAAATGCTGTGACTTGGACTCTATCACAGCAGGGGGACTGGCCTCCTGGGCCCTGCCGCATCCCCGTGAGCGCTTCCTCACAGCAGGAAGCCCCGTGCTCCCCTCCTTCGCTGGATGCTCGAGTGCCAGAGCCAGCGTCCAATGCACCATTGGTCAATTCAGCAGTGGCGGAAGAAAGATCCCCAGCCCCAAAGGCACCTGGGGATTTTTAGTGCAAGATTAAGTGAGTGATCGTCAGGTGTCAGGGCGGCCGGAGACTACAAAGGCCAAGGGCTATCTTCCCTGAAATGGCTTCACTTTCCAGTTCCTCCTGGCCCCACTCCCCTCCAATTGGGGAAGAGATCTCAGGGTGATGCCCTTACCTCTCCGAACCCGTGGCCCTGCCCCTTCCCACCCTGTTCCCTATTCCTCCGTCTTGTCCACACCCCTTCCTCTTCTTCCGGGCAGGCTACGGCTGGGGATCTCCCTGCAGGAGGCCAAGTCTGTGGGAGAGTGGGGCTGTGGGGCCTCAAGTTTCCACTTCCCTTTCCTCCCTTCCTGCTGGATGGCCACCCCGTTCCCATCTAAGCCCAAGGCTTTCTTACATCTCCATCCTCTTTCCTCTCTGCTTCATGTTCTCCCCAAGGCTTCAGCCTACAAGTGGGCCAGGCCGGGGGCTTCTCCTCCCTCCTTCTCCACTGTGCCCGTCCTGCACCACCTCTACGCCAAACACTGGGGAATGACGAGCCCACTGCCCGCCAGCTGTCACCCAACCCCGCAGGGGCATCGTGAAGATGATGCCAGTCTGTGCTTCTGGTCAGGCTGGAGTTAGCACCGCCGGGAGGGGAAGGTTAATGCCCTCCTCGGTGGCCAGCTGTTCAGTGGCTCCCTGGGAGAGACACGCGTGTCTCTGGAAGGCACGGGCTGGGGATAGAGTTGAGAACAGATCCACGCGGTGCCAGCTCCTCTGGTTATAAATGAGCTGCCAGGTCAAAGACCGAGGGACACGCTGCGCTACACAGGAGTGGGTCTGAGGTATGCAAGTGGGGACATGCCCTAAATGCATGACTCCATCCTCATCCTCATGACTCTCTCACAGTCAAGGCTGGGTCTGGATAGGTACAGTTTTGGTTTTCTGTTAGAAAAATAAAAACCCCAATAAAATATGTCCAAGAGAAGAGTTTCCAGGTTGTGGTCACTACTCCCCAGGAGGAGCCTGGAGGGGATGCTGAATGCACCTCACAGACAGGTCGGTAGCACGCAAACAGGTCTTTCCTTCCTTGACTGAAGTGTGCCACCTTTGCCAGGAGCCGGTCCATCTCTGTCAACTGAGTGAACGGCCCCTCCTGGTCCCTCTCCCAAGGTCCTCCCTTCAGCGGCCCCCAGAGTAGAGAGAGGGGCCTTGGCAGCTGTCTGCGTGAGGCGACAGCTCTGGGTGGAGTGATGCTGTTCGCTCTGAGGCCTCTCGGGGCCCAGCCATGGCTTCTCCCCCACCACCCGCCCCCTCCTCCTCAGCAGCGAGTGGGGGCACTGGGAAGCCAGTGCAAGTCAAGGAGCGGGAAGCAGTCAGTCCAGCGGGCCGCCCCTCAGGATCACCGCATCTTCATCTGACGGCGGTTCCACATGCCTCGCTTGGAATGGAAGTGATGGAAGAAATTCCTGAGGGCGAGCCGTTCCACTTCCAGGCCTGCTTGGAGGATCCTGCATGGGGGAGGGGCAGGGTGAGTAACAGAAGCACAAGAGGCAACTGGGGACTCCACCTCCCACATCTACGTCACCCCCCGTCTTCCTCTGTTTACCCCCACGGAGCAAGAGAGGAGGCCACGGTGCACAGAAGGTGGGCTTCGGAGCCAGCCAGCCTGGGTTTGAATCCCAGCCCCATACCGTGTAACGCATGTCACCTTTCAGAGCCTCAGCCTGCCAGTCTTTAGAGAGAGGAGAACGATATGCAGTCGACCCTGGTCCTTTCTTCCTTTGATGTCTCTCTCCCTTTCTCTCCTCTGCCCCCTCCCCTTCAACCCAAATCTCAAGTTACTGTCCTCTTTCCCTCCCCTTTTCTTAGCAACAAATTTCTTTTTTCTGTAACTTTTATTAAAAAAGCTCTACCCCCAATGTGGGGCTCGAACTCACGACCCCGAGATCAAGAGCTGCATGCTCTCTCAACTGAGCCAGCCAGGTGCCCCTCGTGGCAGCAAATTTTTAAAAAAAAAGCAAATTTCTTGAAAGAGGAATCTCGTACTAACAGCTTTGGCTCCCTCACCACCCTGCCGCGGGGTCCCGGCCTGCCTGCTCCTGCCTCAACACCCTCATCTGCCGCTTGCCAAGTCTGTAGCCTATCCTGGGTTCTCCTCTCTCCTTCCCAGGGACTATTTCCTGCTCCCTGAAACTCCCTTCTCCCAGGCTTCTAGGGCCCCAGGACCTCCTGGATATCTTACTGCTCTTTTTTTTTTTTTTTAAGATTTTATTTATTTATTTGACAGAGAGAGAAAGAGAGAGAGAGCACAAGCAGGGGAATGGCAGGCAGAGGCAGAGGGAGAAGCAGGCTCCCGGCAGAGCAGGGGGAGCCTGATGTGGGACTCGATCCCAGGACCCTGGGATCATGACCTGAGCTGAAGGCAATCGCTTAACCAACTGAGCCACCCAGGCGCCCCTTACTGCTCTTTAATGACCCACACACTGTCTCTTTTGCTGGCCCCCAAGTCTTTCCTGACCCTTCATCTGTCTCTCTTGTCCATGCCCAAGCCTCAGCTTCCCCGCCAGGCAGTGGTGCGGGGGAGGAAGGCTCTGATCCGGGAGAACGCAGCCGTATATCGTATTCTCCATGGTGCTGGGCTTGCGCTGAGAGCATCAGCATTTACACGCGTACAGCTCACCGGCTTTTGCTTTACCCTGACAGCCCACCATGCACTCTGCTCTCCAGGCCAACCCTGAGACATAGGCGGAGGCAGGATCATCCCCCTTCTAATAGACACACAAACTGCGTTTCAGCCAGGCGAGTAATATGACCCCCTGTGAGTGGCAGGGCTTCCTCTGAGTCCAGTGGTCAGGAATCTGCTGCCCTGTGGGCCCGGCCTTGGCTGGTCTAGCCCTGCTCTCTCCCCGTAGCCCCTCTCAGACACCCTCCTCCTCGAGTCACCTGTCCAGCAGCTCCCAGTCTTCCCCACCCCAGCGGTCTCGGAACTCCTTGGTGTTCATGCCGCCGATTCTGTCCAGGTCCGACTTGTAGATGCCGAGCAGTCCAAACCCATTCACCTCCCAGTAGCCTGTGGCCAGACAAGAAGCCCCCATGAGATGAGCCAGGAGCCAGGAGGAAGCAATGAAGGCTGCTGGGCTGCATTCCCAGAGCCTTCTCTGAAAGACAGGGGACAGGGTGCCTAACACTGAAAACTGTCTCCTGTGAACAAGTCCCTGCCTGTTCTGGGTGGAAGCCCCCGGGCACTCAGGTCAGGGTCCAATGGAAGCTGCGGTCCTACCAGGAGGGGGCTACCGGCCCTACAACAGGATCTCACAACGGCAGCCACTGGGGACACAGCTGACCATGCTTTCCGTGTCTGCTTCCCTCTCCAGAGGCAAAGGGCCTGTCTTGCCATTTTTCTATCTGCACAGGGCACAGAATCTGGCACACAGGAAATATCTGATGACTGAATGAAGGGAAGGTGGGGAGGAAATGTTCACCGGTGCTGCTGCTGTGGCTGTGAGCACAGCCCTCAGGCACCTCTGGTGGGCTGTCCGGCGGGGGGGGGC